GTTCCAAATGCCCGAAAATAACATTTGAGGCGTTCTGGGCTATCATTTTTTTCTTTTTCTCTCTTTTTTTCTTTCTTTTTTCTTTTTTTTTATCTTCCAAAAGGGAGGGCCGGGGGTGGGCCGCCCCCCCCTAAATCCGCCCCTGGGGAGTCGTGTACACATACCAACAATATGGTTACTCATGATAATATCACGTGTACACATTCCAATAAAACGTGAATGCATGCAAAATGATAAGTGTTTTTTATGTTTCAATGCCATAAATCACAAGATCTTCTCTTAAAGCTTTAACGCTTCAGCTTTCAGAAAAAATTTTAATTAATTGGCTCAAAGGCTTCTTATTTCACCAAAGCAACTTAAAAATATATAAAAAAAAAAATATATATAAATGAAATTCCTTGGTCATTGACTCATATTTATTTCTTTATGTGCCAAAATACAACATGCGTTAGTGCAATAAACTGAATGAGCTGGTAAACTAATCGCTTTAACTAATAGTATGTTATTCTCACGTCTATGAATATAAACTATAGTCTTATTTGAACTAAAAACATTTAAAATATTAAATAAGCAATCATCTTTGTTAATTAATTGGGAAATCAAGTGAAATACTGGTTGATCAGTACTGAATACATTTAGAATAGATCAGATACTACAGTATATGGGCAGATATCTTTCTTTACTGTTTATCATATACATACTGTTTAATGTTTGACCGATTGATTGTTTGATTGCTTAATAGATCAATTTTGTATGGGCAGCCGTTAGGCCCAACACACTCTACTACCTCTATTATACTGCCCTCATCGGAGCTTTCGAGAATACGAGAACTTGTTTTTTGTTAGTTGTTAGCAACAACATCAAGACTAATCAATTAATGTTTGAGGTATACTTGATTTTTTTCTATTACAATTTTATCTTTTTTTTAAAAAATCTTTTCTAGTAAAATCAAGAGCCAAACAATGTGTACGAGACTTCTTCAAGAAACATTCATACATAGCATCAACAGATGACCTCCCAAAAGCTGACAAGCGAGTGAGACCAGATAAACAAGAAATAAAACCAGGTTTACAATGAAGTTTAGCAGGTTGTGATTTTAAACCATTATGAAACTGAAAATGGAAAGATAACCCATAAGCATTGTAATTGACGTGATGAGAAATCAGGATAAATAAACTGGTGGAAGTGAGCGGAACCGGTTAACATTCTGACTGCCAGGGGTTTGAAAAAAATAGTATCAGCCACCGCCAGACATTTTAGCAAATTTTAACACTTTTCCAAAGCTTGTATGTGATCAGATTGACATGTAATGAATACTACAAGAACTACAAACATTATAGCTTTACAGTGGTACAAACACTTTATTCTAATCACAATCTGTGACCCGTAACAGTAAAATGAATATGAGTCACTTTTGGAGATTTACGAAATTTTGAAATACTTACGGTCCAGACTGAATATAGTGTTCAAATTGTTAGTACATGTCGGTAATTACCCCATCTATTGGTGGTCAGGCGTTGTGTTACCAAACATGGAGGTCTCTGTGTTTGGCGGGCAGAGTGTTAAGAGGAATTAAACCTGGTTGATTAGATACACTCGTAGATTTATCTTTCTAAAGTTTAAAATATTTATGTAAAAGGATAAATAGAAAATATATTAAGTTTAATAAAATCTATGAAGTTTTAGTTCTATGTATCAATGTTCTAAGAAGACAAATATTCTAAGTAAGTTTGAGGTCATTTTTGGACATCGTTGAGTTCATTCATCTTGAAATCAACTCGTAATTCATCTTCATGTACGACGTTCAATCAGGAACAAGCTAACATTTTGAACGCGTAATTATATTCAATGGATTTCATAATATATTATTTTTATATTTTATTTCAACTTGAATGCAAGAGCAGACAAACCACATACAGGATAGAAACGTAAAACATCAAAACATCTGAGGGTAAATATGTAGCACACAAGCTTCATTTTAAACCCTGTCCAGACTATCAAATTTTATTTGACAAGAACATGTGACATGCCTAAATATGGTCAAGATGACATCACATCGTGACCATATATCTAGAATATATATAATATATTGGGCGTATTCGACTGGTTCATTTCGTTGAGTACGATTTTTCATTGAGTATTATTTTCATTCGACTGGTTCGTAAAATAGACTTCGTTGACAACGAACACCCTGTGGGCGAGTATACTCGTCGCTGGCAGCCAACATGTTAATGTTTTTTGTCGGTCATGTCATGGGTCATAGATAATTAGCATATGATCCTAGATTCATCCCATCGTCTCCGAACTAAAACTTTCCAGGCAATGCTTCTTGGTGACAATAATAATAATTATATACTATAAATAAAAGTGGCTGTAATTACAGTGTATGTGTGTATGTTGTATATACTGTATATCCTGTATCTGTACAAATACTTACGCCCTGTTTACACCAGCAACTCCGACCTTCACTATTCTATGACTGTTTATGCCACACTTATTTTAAGAAATTGCAATAGCAAACTACAGAGACCCCTCTAATTCCGAAAACCCCCCCCCCCATAATTCAAGACCACTTTTTCAAAGAACTGAATAACATCATCAGTCTTTTATATACAAAGCTAACCTTTTATGTGGAGACCAAATTCCAAGACCGCCCCAAATTTTCAGGCCCCAAAAGGTGGCCTTGAATTGGAGGGTGAACCATACTTTGGTTCATTGTGGTCAAACTGGCCCATGTACACAGTATTTTAACTAACAAAATATAGTTTACTGGTATTAGGCAAGCCTACACCCTTGATTTTTAAGAAATTCCTTGAAAAAAGTATTTATTATACTGTATATAGAAGCGGTTATGGCTTGGACTCCCCAACTTTTGAGGTTAGGGCTTTGAAACTCATGCTGTGCAAGTCACTTGTGTGTTTTGTCAAGGCACTTTATTAACGTTTGTCTCTCTCTACCCAGGAGTATAAATGAGTACCTAGTAGGATGTTGTGGCATTGAATGTACTAGTTTTGTACACTAATACGACCTCCCCAGGGAGTAGTATATGTTGCACTTAGTGCTTGTGTGCCATTGTAAGTTATCTAATGACCAGGGGTAATAACGCTCAGCGCCTTTGATCATTCATTGGAATTTGAACTATATAAATATTTGGGTATTATATGTAAGTGATAAAAATTATTGTTGCACTAATCAGGGGCGGATCCAGAAATGTCCAAAAGGGGGGGGGGGCCGGAAGTGGGGGCCGAAGTTGGGCCGAGGGCCGAAATTTGGGCCGATTGAGACAACACTGTCGTAGGGGGTCCGGGGCATGCCCCCGCGAAATTTTTGTGTTCTAGACGCCCGAACATAGCATTTGAGGCATTCTGGGCTATCATTTTTTTCTTTTTCTCTCTTTTTTTCTTTTTTTTTCTTTTTGTTCATCACCCAAAAGGTGGGGGCCGGGGTCGGGCCGCCCCCTCCCCTAAATCCACCCCTGCACTTGCATACATTTGCTTTTCTTTTAAATATTAAACCAAATCATAATGTGCTGTTGCAATGTTTTATACATTTTTTTTTTTATAAATGAAAAGGAACAAAGCAATAGTGTTAGTCAGAAACCAGTGGCAGACCCATGATTATTTTTGGGGATAGCAGTTGATAACCTGTGGTTTAAAGGGGTTGGGACCTATGGTCGTAGGAGGACAGTAGGGTGTTCCATTTATAGTGGTGGTGCCCTCTGGAATTATTGGTGGTTTAGGGATTTTAATTTATCATCTAAATGATTTCACACGTGGTTAAATAATTTCTTTTTACTGCCTGTGGTTGGGGCGGGCAAGCACCCAACATTTCCCACTGGAAAGGACTTTTAAAGTTGTATTTTTAGATTTTTTTTTTATTTTTAAAGATTTATGTGGGGACCTGACCAGTTCCACCCCTCTCCGTCTTGTTTCATATATTTTCCGCCTCCCCTGAATCTGCACCCGAGTCAGAATAGGGATTTGCAGATTTTTGAATACAAAAATCATGAAATTGATAACCAGACAATTTTAGGTGTTTATGTAAAGGATAGGAATTATTATACATCTGTTATTGGCATGGATATTTGATTTATTTTATGCTTCATGCTGTACAAATACACACATACAAAAGGCTTAAAGACCATTGTTAAATAGAAAAATTGCATATTAAGCATTGATTGCAAGCACATGACAGGCATTTGAGCTTAAAGCTTGTTTTCAGATACGTCTAAACATTTTAACTTCAACAACCATTACATTAGAATCTTAAGTTGGAAGTGACGAAATATACACAATAGGGTGCTTTCGAGTGCACGACGACGGCAGGACGTAGAACGAAATGACGTCACTAAAAGTCATCTGCGCATGCGAGAACGTTAAGTTCACCTCGTCGAGTAGATTCTAAAACGCAATTTGGCCAAATCTACGTATGCAGAGAACGTAGGGCGCCAGGTAGGACGGTCACGCATGAGTGATTCCGTTCTAGCGTAGCGTCATCGCACAAATCGAGAGCTCCATAATAAAAACAATAGGCTACTGATAGCACATGAGTATACTGCAGAAACTGGTTCAAAATTACTCTAAACAAAGTCCATTATCAGACAAGTTGCTATCAGCCATTGGTCATCTGTCAAAACGTAGGACCAATTACCGACTCCCTGATAAAACTACGTACTTGGTATGCCTGTCAAACGAACTGAAACGAACACATTCCAATTTACAGAAAAATTCCACTACCACAGCAGCAGACAGTATGTGCACTGCAAGCTCTGTATGCTAAAAAATTAATTATAAGCTAACATTTTTAATATACAAAGAAAGAAGTTGACATTTATTTATTTTTAGTTCATTTACGAAAATATATCTTTAAAAATGAATAATAAAATATGCTTACATTAAAATTTTAAGAACAATACACTGTGTAAAACACAGTGGGTTTAAACAAATGAAGGTAGGCAAAATATTGAAAAAACGAAACTTTGAAGTATTTTAGTTCATCAAATACAATATCTAAACATAAACAACTGAATCACCATATTCAATGTAAAGTCGCTGTTTAATACACAAGGGCTTAACATAGGAAGGTAGGTAATAATGTTCCACACTTACATCCGTCATTAGATTAACGCCGTCTTAAGCTGGCTGTAAACTACGCAGCAAATCTCAAAACAGGAGTATATAGTAGTAAGTGAGAATGTAACAAAATTGAAATGATGATTTAAATGAGCAATGAACGCAGTCAGTGACTAGATTAATAGATTCCTCGTGGGATGTCTGTCTATAAGATAGTATAATACATACTCCAAGTATCGAAGTGTACGCCATCGTGTGAGGATTCAATATTTCGACATTAATTATGTCATCATCAGGAATGATGTCTGTCTATTGTTCTTATTGTTATAGAGATTACATGAGATTACATAATGCAGTCCAACGTTATACAATTCTCATAGCCTTATCACAAAGCCTTATATAAAATGTGCACATACTCATGTTCAGATTATTGTAAATAATAATTTCTCTGTGTTGACAAAGGGCTAAGTATTAATAAAATGGCTATGTTCCAATGATTCTAAAGCATTATTATTAATTATAAAGTGTACCGTATATATCACTATAATAGTGATGCCTATTAGGGAAGGTTTGAAAACTAATTCCTTGTGAATGTTGGCTTTGTATTCAAATTAGTTAATAAGGTGACGTCAAATATATAAATCTATCTTAGTAAAGAACTGCCTTAAGACTATTCGTAACCATAGAATTTAAAATGTAGTAATTAATAAATTAAAAATAAAATAAAGTAATTAATTAACTTAAAATATTATCCCAGCTAACAATATTACGTTATAAGAACGTTATAACATTACAGTTTGGTGATAAAAACGTTATTTTGTAGAACCATATGTACGTAATTAAACCTAATTTCACGGCGTCACACCGATTGAACGTTCTTACAACTAACCACAACGTTATAAAGAACGTATGTGTTTCCTAGGATCATAATTATAATTACTTTCTGAGGTACAAACGGTAAAAAACCAATAACATTGAAATGCTTATTTAGAATATCAAATTAATTTATGAAATCATAGTCAGACAGAGATTGAAACAGTTCAGTTTTTATTAATTGCCAGCCAATTTTAGATTCTCTGTCAAGAACATAAGAACAATAGTATTAAGTATGTGTACAGGTATGTTAATCGGCAAGAATATCGATAACTTTTGCATTTACCGCAAATTAAATATTGACACAGACACTAGATAAAATAGGCCTATATTTTAGGATACTACACTTTCGTGACGGTGCCACCCTGGAGTCAGTACCATCGTTCGAAGCCATGACAAGGTCATCGGTCATCGAACCATAGGCCTACAATCTTGCAGGTTCAAACAACGTTATTGTGATTGCCAGTCCCTAATATTTTGGCCTGAAAAGCACATTCTGGCCCTTCTACCCATAAACCCCACTGGGCCTATTTTGGGCTAGCAATGCCTGGAAACGAAGGAATGTGTGAATCCCTTAAACTGTTTTTTTTTTCCTGACTCCCCCTCTAGTGGCGATGCCAGCCGGCAGGGGAATAAGCGCTCATTGGACACGATTCGAACGAAAGGTTTTTAAAGAAACTTCTTTGGCCCATAATATCCCCTTGCACCATTCTGGTCTCCCCCGAAATTGTCCCTCTGACAGAATGTATATCTTAGATCCTCCAAACCCCCAGCCCCTTATCTACCTATCGTACTTCTAACATGTGGATACGCTTATATACGCCACTCACTGTATACAGAGCACCAGCATCGCATTACGAATAATACAAATGTACAGTGTCCTCTAAGAAAAAAATCTTAATAAAATATGAAGATTTTAAACCACACCAAATAACTGCACAATATTGCATTTTGTATTACAGATTAAACATTGAAGATAATCTTATCTACACTCAAAGTACTTTCTGAAAAGTAGCGTATCTTGTACCAAAAAAGCCTTGGTAGATTTAGAGCTATATCTATTTCATTAATGCAGTAAAACTTGCGTGAGTCAACTTTGCCGAATTTGAATAATTTCTCATTCGATCTTATTTAGGCCTACAAGTCAAATTAATTAACGATCTGTGAGTCGAGTTTTATCTTAGTCGAACAATTTTTCAATCCATTTTGAATTCGAGTTTCGCCAAGCTCCAATTGAGTGGACATGCCATATGGACCTAGTAGCTCAATTTAATAGATTTCACTTTTACAACAATGGAACATGTATAATAGCTCTTTGGTGCGTCTGAAATATTTTAATACTAAACATAAAAAATAATTTAAAAAATTGGTAGTTTAGTAGGTACAATGGATTACTAGTCTGGTTTTAATGGCTACGGTACTACACTAACAGAAACTATACATAAACTATAAACACAAAAACTAACACCACATCTATCAACTACAATACAAAGACACAATAGCAAATCTAGTTTTATTATCACATTACTGTATGTTCCTGGACGTACCCTCATATCATTCGATAAATGTACTCTCTGTTCTCTCGACATCCCGAAAAAACTGGGCATAAATTCTGCTGCATCAACACTTTAGAAATCACTCCCTACACACATTACCATTGTTTTCTGTTGCTTCATATCGAAATTACTGCACTTTTATTTTACATTAACGCACAGCGCACTTGACATTGAACCCCGGTCGATTAAATGACGCTTTATAAGTTCCTATATACTAAAATAATCATATGAATCTATGAATAAACTCATGTTTATTTATAGCACCTATCAAAATAATATAGAAATACCTGTTAACAACAAATAACAGTATTTAATCTCGCCTTGATCTCACTAACCTAATTAATAGGAATATCACTAAAACAACTAAAAAGGCCCATATCCAAAGGAGGGTTGGGGTACGATGGGTTTACGATTAATATGTAATGGATGTGTTATGCATGCATCGTTTTTCTCAAATATTTATTATCCCCTTAAATCAACACTAGTGGAGATGTATCTCCATACCAAAACTACTTTCATGTGATTTACTATTATTCATTGCGCATTATGCAAGATTGAGAAAGAACGTGTCATAATGGGGGAAAAACTCAAGGGTGTATACTTGGCCTCAGTTGGTAGAGTATCCGAACGGTAATCGGAAGGTTTTGGGTGCGAATCACGATGGGGACATACGTTTTTCTCAAATGTTTATTGTCATCTTTAATATGTAGTGAACAAACACAAAACCCCTTTTGATCCCTAGGGAATATTCCTAGTTGCTTAGCATATGATATCGAACACGGAACAATACAGCTGGTTCTCACGAGAGCCCAGTATCCGGATCGGGAGCTAACCGTTAGCGCTAACCGTTAGCACCTGCGTGAGAACGCCCGATTGGTTAGCGCTAACAGTTAGCAGTATCCAGATACCGCTAACGGTTAGCAAGCGCTATCGGTTAGCAAGTTGAGCGCGTTTTTATCATCAACCAATCACAGGTACGCGTTTACAATTTCCAGTTTCTTATTGGCCAGTGATTCGATCATCATATTTTTGGTATCCGGATCGCGTCGCATCCGAATCAGGATTTTCTCGTATGGACGCACGGCAGCTAACGGTTAGCAGGATCCGGATCCTGCTAACCGTTAGCAGACGTGTGAGAACATAGCCATTATGTTCAAGAATACAAAATCTTACCAGTTTACCGATATTGTACAATACTAACAATAATAATACTGTACTAGTAAAATTTGTTGATTTTATATTGCATATCGATAGCCGTCATGGTATTAAACGCCATGGGAACTCATACTCAGCTCTCTGGGGACCTAGTAATCAACATATTTTTATTTAAGAACACAAGTAAAGAACCGGTGTAGATATCTATAGCTGAGTTGACAACAAACACTATCCAAAGCAACACTAATTGATAATATACTATATAGAAATTAAATCACATTCTTGTAGTAAACAAATTTTGCCTCAACAGATTTGTAAAAACCAGCGTATCGAATGGTTGGTCGGAAATTTTATTTTTTTTACTATAGGCCCAGGCTTAATTAATTCTAAGTTTCACAGGAAACTGTTACTCCCCCCATACATTTTGGTTGGTTATATGATAACCACACAGAACCAAAACTATTAATTACACGTATTGTTGGCTCTTCCTTTGTATAAAACACATTTTAAAAAATTACTCTAGATTTATGAGAATTTGGGTCGGTTAAGCATTCCGACTGTCAAATTGTCTTTGTCAAAAACGGTTGAATGCCCATATATAGCCATGATGTGCGTGTATGTGGCCATGATTTGATGATATCATAACCATATAGAAAATAAAATTTCATAGTTTGGAGAGGAATTTTAGGCTTATTGAACACGAAAAGATTTTCTGGCTTACTTGCTTAGGACCTGAAAACAACTTTGACATTATTATTAGCTTTATTAATCTTATCTAGAGTTCAGATTTGTATTACTTAGCTCAGCCATAGGCCTATATCTCCTCTCTATCCAGACATTTTAGAACACAACCCTATGGCACCAAACTGTTTCGTTTTTTCCTCACCCCTGTAGAATTAACTTGCCCTTTTCGGTTAGAAACTCTTTCACAATAATAAAAGCCCTACATGTAAAGTAGTTTATATGTACACATATTTACATACAATGCATGAAGCACAATAAACAAAGTTGTAAATTCTATGAAACATTTGGGAGAGAAGTATCTAATCCCAACATGGGGCTTCTTCACACGACCACGGTCGACCAAGATTCCACGATACTTCATTACACATGGATTCTAAGCCGTACGCATCATCCTCTTGAAGTACACCCTCACGAACAAAAAGGCTTTTGAGGCGGGAACCGCAGATGCGTGTGAATTCCACCATTGCAGAGCATGATATCTCACACTCACCAAGGCCAAGAGATGACATATTGATGCAATGTTTACCAATTTTGATGAGTTCCTTGTCCAGTAAGTGCATTCCATTTGCGCAGACGACAAGTTCGCACAAGTTTGGGCAGTGATCACCGATTCTACTCAGCACCTCTCGAGAAACAGAATGACCAAAGTACAGATGAGTTACTGGACACTCAAAGTTAAAGAACGAGTCGAAGCAGACGTCTTTGTTGATGTAGAATGACATTACCAGAATCAGATTCGGAGAATGCTTAGAAAGTGCATCCCAGCTCTTTTTACTTATTTTGTGAAATTTGCTCTTTTCTTGCGATTCATTACTTATTTTAATTCGAAGATTTTCCAACTTCACATGTTCCTCACTGCACAATGACAAGAGAAGTTTGTCTGACAACTGCGAGTAATTTATTGACAGCTCCCGAAGTTGCTGACAACGATCTGCCACAAAAAGAATTCCTGCAAGTTAAAGAGACAAAACATATTGTTGAACAGGAGTACTGTATGTGGAAATAGGTCTAGGTCATTGAAAGTTGGTAGTGTATTGGATAACTACAAACAAACTGCCAATGTCATAATTACATTTGTTTGAACACTTCAACCTACAACTGGAGGAAGCACGATGCCACGAATAGATGACATGGCACGACAGTATCCCAAGCAGTCAGTTGATGATATCTGATAAAAATTAAACATTCTTACCAACTTTCAAAAAAAAAATTGATGAGATTTCTGATAAAACGGACAAAGCATAACAAGGACACAGTCTTACCTTGTGGTGAAATTTTTGTACAGCTGTCCATGTCTAAGAATGTTAAAGAATTCTGGTTTTCCTTGGCCAAACACGCAATGCTTGGGTCATCAACGGGTGTATCACTGATGGCAAGTGATGACAAGTGATTTGAGTTGACAAACACGACATTCACTGCAGACACAAAGTCCTCTTTTTTCACCAAGTTGAAGCTCGGCTTAGCCAACGACATAAGATTTAATGTCTTCAGCGAGCATTTCATGAGACGGCTGAGGATTTTGCAGGCGGATTCAGCGGACTCTTTGCTGCTGTCCACCTTAATTGACACATACTGCAGGTCTTGGATGTGCTGACCTAGCACGTTTGAAATGAGATTCTTTGGGGTAGACTTAAAGTAGGATGTGGATTCCTGGTTGAATTCAAACTCAAACACTTGCCACAGGTCAGGCAGGTGATAAGTTCTATTCCAGTATTGGCAGACCATAGAAGCTTTGGTTCTATCTACTAAGCTTAAATACATGAAGACCTTGATCAAGATATGCTGTGGTATGGTGCACCACCGGGATTCTTGTGCCACTTCCAAGGTTTTTTGCTCAAGTTCCAATTTGGCATATTGGGAATCGTCTTTGTTCTTATCATCCATGTTATTTTCAAGACGGTTATTAACTGGAGGAAACAAAATTTATAAGCATGGTATAAATAATAATACAGGTCTTCCACTAATTAAAGATCCCTCCAAGCTGGTACTGGTTTGATTTGATAATGATAACAAGCCTCCACCCCTAACACACATTAATGGTATTACTATTGCTCAATCAGAAAGACTGCATAAACGATGTGGAGGTGTTGCAATATACGTTAGAAATGACTTTAATTTTTGAATTAGAAGAGATCTAAGTTTACCATGTGGTACTGTATATAATTTTTTATTGAAATTGAAAACAAACCAAAAAACTAAATTTTAGGAGTTATCTATCGAGCTCCGGACAGCCCAGTTCACCCATTCTTAGATTATATTTCTAAATGTACTGAATATTATTTCAAAAGAAAACAATCCAACTTATATTTGTGGTGATTTTAATCACGATTTCATGAAATCCCATATACCGTACATAGTCCTACAGAAAATTCCTTGATTATATATAGGCCTATTCATCTTCCTTTTTTCCACTTACTGAAAAAACGATACGTGTTACTAAAATTTCTAAAACTAAAATTTCAACGACTATTGATAATATTTTTAAAAAATATACTAGACCAAATAGTTACACCTGGCGTCTTATTTAGTGATGTAACTGATAGTTTCCAATTTTTACTCTGAATAATGAAGATAATACACAAAGTGATACTCAACCAAATTATATTTATTTTAGGAAAATTAATAGTAATACAATTTCTGCACTGGGTACTTAACCTAATTGTAACTCAATGGAATGACATTTATTCCGAGCATGATTGATGTAACAAAGCTTGAAGTAAATTCAATTAAGATATCGCATATACAGTATACGATAAACCTATTATTATTATGAAAAAGAAAATCAATAGGTGGAGAGAAAGAAAACATTGGATCTCATCGGCGATAGTGAAATCAATTAATACCAGAAACAGGTTGTATAAAAAATATTTAAAATCTAAGAAAGAATGCGATAAAATTTAATACAAAAAGTATAGAAATAAACCTACCTACTTGATTCGTATCTCAACGATATTACTCCAATAAATTTAATACATATAAAAATAATATTAGAAAAACATGGAAAGGCATTACTGAATTATTGGGTATGATAAAATAAAGATAAACCGGCATCATACTTTCTATTATATAATAATAAGATGTCAGATCCGAAGGAAATTGTTAAGAAGTTTAATAATTACTTGAAGGATGTTGGCGCCAAATTATCTTCTAAAATTAGCCAACCTTCGAAAACTATTTTGATTTTATGCTCAATCATAAACCAATAATCTTTTCACCTGTTACTGCTAAAGAAACCTTTGAAACTCTTTGTGAACTAAATGTCGGTAAAAGTACAAGGCACGATGAGTTTAATGCAGGCGTCATTAAACAGATTGGGTCATTTATTTATAGGTCATCATCTGCTATATATTTAACCTTGCTTTGACTACTGGTATTTTCCAACAACACTTAAAATAGCAAAAATAATCCCAGTATTTCAAAAATATGATCGCCATACTATTTCTAATTACCGTCCTATTTCTCTTCTTTCATGCTTTTCAAATGTTTTTGAAAAAAATGATTTATAATAAATTGATAGATTTTTTTAAACACACATAATATCCTTCACCTCAACCAATATAGCTTCCGTAAACAACATTCAACAGATTTGTACAAACACTCTTTTGCTCTGTCTGAGAATGAACATACCATTAGAGTCTTCATGGATTTATCGAAAATTTTCGATTCTATTAATCATAATATTCTTAAACTAAACTGTATTATTATAGTATAAGCGGTCTTTCACTTTTTCTATCAACCAACTATCTTTATAACAGAAAAAAATTTACATGTTATAATTCTTATTGTTAGGCCCTTAGAATCAGTTCTAAATCTAAATACTTATCTCATTATAAACCTATTTTCTTTACATTTATAACGCTAAATATTTTAGATATCAATAGGCTTCAGATTATTATGTATAGATACACAGTAACCTTCCGAAATCATTTAACAATTACTTTATGAAACACAGTGAACTACATAATTATCAGACACGAAATTCAAATGATTACATTAGGCCTATATCTAAAGTTTGTACTAACTTCGTAATTCTATTATATATAATGGAGATAAATGACTATGGAACTCGCTTCATCAAGACATAAAAGTTGCACCTTCAACTCTTTGAATTAAAATACAAACAATACTTATTATCTACTTATGCTGCGACTTGATTTATTTTAATAACAATGAATTGACCAGTTGTTCTAATGTAAACAATTTATATAAGGATTAATTAAAATATTTTGTAATATTTTTGTTTTTTATGTCCAGTCAGAGAATACTGGGTTTTTTCTCTTTTTATTAGTATTTTCTGATGTATTCAAGGTTAATGTATTTATTTGTAAGGGGTGGTTCGATCCTAAAGCCTTATTTGGCTTACCTGACTCCCCACCCCCCACCTCACAAACTAAATAGTACTTAATGATAAAAAAAATAACGTATTAATGTTTAATGAAACTTGTGTGGAATTAAAGAATAATTTTAATTTGAATACTGGCAGCCGAATTTTGGAATCTTTGTATGCCCTGAACGCATAATTGCGACATCAGGTAAAACGATAGAATTGCAATAATATAATTTAGATGAATTTAAGGCGTGAACAAGTGTTTCGGCAAATTTGGGTGAGTAGACCTATATATACGTATTCTCCAAATGTTACGAACACAAAAGAAGGACGATTTACAAACTGCTGAAATGACTTCGGATGTATATAACTGGATTGATAATGATGTTACTTATACAAAGAGATGCAATTTGCGGCTTTGGTTTGAAATTAGAACGAAAAACAATGAATTCAGTTTGAGACAGGTTAAATTTAAACAAGTTGTTTGTCATCCATTTCGGAACGGCAATAACACAATCTTCAATTGTTGAAATAGAGTTTCATTGATGAAATGGAACGAAAATTTGGATGTTGTCTGCATAAAAATGAAACTTAACTAAGATTTAAAGATACGTGCCACTAGTGTACTGTAAAGAAGGGATAGATACATATTTAGGCCTATGCACATACATATATAGGCCTACACACATATATACATATTATACATGTTATTATATGAATATGTATTTTATACAGGTAATGCCACATCTGCTAGGAAATCACTCAAGCTTATTTATACCATGGACCAGGAATTCCCTTGCCAATTGGAAAATCCCCCACCGGGAAATATAATTTTCTCACCCCAGGTAGGAATTCTATGCCCTTTGCCAAGTTGGTGGGTTTTATACTAGTAGATAAAATACTATATTTTCTAATTATTTTGATAACGTAGGATATGACTGCTGGAATTGACTTGTTTAAAATGATGCTGAAGAAGGGAGCCTTTGAATCGACTAAGGAAGGCTAAGCAGGAGGATACAATGCTTACAATTACAACCTATCATTCCCCTAAAAAGTATCGAAAATAATTCATCGACTAATAATACATACGTGCTTATCATGTTAGATATCTGACGTGCTGGATTCCGTCAACATAAGGTCGAAACTTGCAGGCAGAATCAAAACAATGAAGTAATGTCAACGACAATAGCCTTTCCCGTCGACCGCATAAATTATTGTTAATGAGAGCATAAGTAGTTGACTTTATCAGCGATGGTTGGTGATTACCAAGAGCGCCCTCCAGAGGTAGTAAAGCACTCGTGATAAGTCGTGAAACAGTGAGTCAACCTTTTTATGTATTTTTTTTTTGCCGAAGGTGGCGAATGCATTTTCATGCAGTACTGTTTTGATGACAGAAGGCACTGATAATAATTGATTTAAAAATCATTAATGTTCAATATAGATTGTGTTTTTACATTCGTTCACTTTACCAATTCGATTATCACTAACGAGAATATTACCGATTTTTTCCGAACTTTCAAGATAGAATCAATGCATTGCAATACAATATCCAGGTAAGGATAAGACATATATAGTACAAACCATTGTCAAAAGTGAAAAATCAAAATAAAAAATGTTAAATAAAAATTAAGTTTGCCTTTCACGACTTCACCATAAACGGGCGAACGATTTGTTTTATTCATTGACTGGCAGTCAGTCCGTGTGCCTATAAGCTATCAATCATTAAAAAATATAAAAGCCAAAAAGTAGCTTACGGGGTAGTAGGAGAATTAACCCATAACTCGCAGCGCTGTGGTGCTTATAGTAGTTACATATGATGTTCATTTAACAACATCAGGAGCTGAAATGAACCATATAGCATCTGCGTAACCCAGCTACTCTTCCGAAAGATGCAATGGGTTCTTTAACAAACTAGCCAGATGTGTACACTGGACCCAGAGGCGGATCTGGGTTCAAATTTAAGGGAGGTCAAAATGTTTCCAAACAACCCCAAAACGAATGGCGGTCCGGGGGTATACCCCGAGAAAAATTTGATACCTAAATGGCGTTAAATGAGCTTTCCCGACTTCTGAAGTGTCTTTTAATTACTTTTAAGTTTTCAAAGTTCAAGGTTTTCACCCTCTTGAAAACGATTCTAAATCGATGAACCACAAGAGGGTTTTTTTTATTTCTGGATGGCGGGAAATGAGTTTTCCCAACTTCTGAAATGTCTTTTTAATGACATGTGTGTTCTTTAAAATTTAAGGTTTTCCCTTTTCAAAAACGGTCAGGTAAATTTTTATCATTCTTATTACAATAAATAGGCCCTTTATGTGTGTAATGAATGTGTTAGAAAGATGAACGTATCAATATTCTATTATATCTACCGTTAAAAACAAAAATTATCACATTCAAGAAAAATAATAATGAGGAGGCGCTTCGTCTTCGTTTTGTAGACATCCATATATGGACTTAAACACATATCCTAGGCCCATGTCCCCGTTATTCAACCCCCGGCCCGCTGGCCAACTCTGGCCCGCCAAAGATTTTGATCCGGCCTGCGCAACATTGCTAAAAATAAATAATTTTCCGACCGATTTTTAGAAAAAAGAATTTCTGTTTATAGAAACACCACCTATGTACCCCTACCCTAGCATTGTTTACAAGAAAGAGTGTGGCTTTTCTGAGTGTTGCTAACTCACTTTATCTAGTGAAAGTTATCCACTGGGCCCTTCTATTGCGAATCCACCGCTATTAGAAAAAAATGGGTGGGGCTGACATAGAAAAAAAAGTGGAAGTACACTATGTCGGCCAGCCACGGGTCTCAACAGATTGGAACTGCCCCCCAGCTTAAAATGTTGAACACCTGGGTCCTATGTATAAGGTTAATGATTTAAAAATAAACAACAACATGTGGTGGACGACGAGAGTTGCTGGTACCGGGTTACCGGGTAGCACAGACACGAAGGGCCCTTAGGGGCGAAGAAAGTCATTGATCGAGTTCCTAGTCCACACATCAAGCGCCCTGAGCATCTTACATTAGATGGATATGTGCGCTATATAAAACTACACTATTATTATTATTATTATTATTAACAACATGATAGGTCTATTCCGAATTTAAGTGTCGTGTTTCTAGACCATTTTCATTAAATAACCTAGACTCTCCACATGTGTAATGCAGGTGAAAGAGAAGCGAGTAAGTGGTGGTAAATATTGTCGAGACAATGTTAAGTCGTATTTTATCCAAAAAAAACATCAACTTTTGGAACGTTTTATTACGTGTATTTTTAACATATGTATCAAGGCCGCTATACTGAGGTAAGCACTGGGAATATTTTGATGAACTGTAAATCTAAAGTGTTTTGATTTGTTATTTTTGTGCTAAACGGTACGAGCACATCTTTATTGTAGTATACGGCATGCATTCGATTGTGGGCTATATTATAATGAGTAAAGAACTAAAGGCTGGGCTGTGTCGAAAAGATGGCCTGTGATCAGAGATGCAGTAGAAAAATTACAATCCTTTTTTTATATTTTATAAAGCGGTTAAACAACCACTGAAAATCGAAAAATTTTAACGTAGACTTATTCTAAAATAATTTATATTATAAATAACTTTTCAGATAAAAGTCGATTTAGTCCTATACCATGGTTTTATTATCATATTAGGTCTATTATTGTTGGATTATTATTATTGTTATGTTGTATTATTTTTCGTTTATTTTATCACATGACAAAATAAACTGGTGAAATCCAAACAATTTTCTGGAATCCATGTGATGAATTTGAAAAGAACATCTCTGATCAAATTAAGTTAATTATTATGTTATCTCTTTTCTTTAATTCTTTGTCCTTATCTCAAATCCTTAAAAGTGCATTATTTATCAAAAAATTTAAGACAATTTCATTATTTTACAGATGCAGCAACAGAGCATCTCCAGCGTGACAGTACTCAGGTTCCGGGAACTTTTTGCTGAACGCGGTTAGGCCTACAGGTATCATGGTGTAAACATGCAGTGACACTACTGTCAATGACAAGTTATAGCAGCATCAAGACTTGACACTTACATCATTCCATTGATTGTTACACGGTTTTTTGTAATTACAGTGGTAGTAGACAAGCCCGTAGCCAGGATTTTGGTAGGGGGGTTCTTTTTGATACTGAAAGGGCACTTGTGAGCAGAGCACCATTGGCTGGGACAAGGGGGCCGCCAAGGACCCCCGGGGGTCCAGGGCCAAACCCCCGGTGGGTGTCCAGCATTCTAAGCATTTACAGGTGTTATTTAATTGATTTGAGAGGCCATACATTTAAAAAAAATGTATATATTAAAGAGGTAATTTCTTGAGTTGGGAAAAGATAAAAAAAAAAAAACTACTACTTTAGTACTACAGTATTGGTAATTTAACAACAGTAGCGTGATACAAACTCCAAAGAATCCAGTATGGTTTATTCTTTATTTTTTATTTATATAGCACTTTGGAGGTTGTATCATACTATACTCACTTAAGACAATCAATAACAAAAAGAACCGAGACAAATTTGTATGGTTGGTTGTAGCGTATTATAATCATATATATACACAGGTGAAACTATCCTCCGCCGGACACCTTCCCGGTATTTCTGAGTCAAGGTTTCGGGGCCTGAATTTTTCATGTTACTAGGTAGGCCTAACAATCGGGTATTAAAATAGGACTTTTAATGATGATATGCTCTAGGCTAGGCCTAAAGTGTAGGCTAGCCAGCCTTTGTTGTAAGGGCACTTCATGAAAAGGGGTTCGTTCGAACCCAACGAACCCTCCTGGCTACGGGCTTGGTAGAGTATTTTAACTGGCAGAGAGAGAAATGCTCTTTGTTAATAGACTGTTTTTTCTATGCATATCTAACTTTGTTTTTGAATGATGATGTAGAATCTGATCATTGGAACCAGGCGGCCGTTCCAGGTAGGTCCTGATTTAGATGTACAACGGCAAGTTCAAAAGGTGCCTGGACGGATGGAAATTTGGTCATCTTCCCAGGTAGCTCCTGAGTATGGTACAGTCTATGTCGTCAAGTTTAAATAAAGGTGTTTTTCGGATGACCATCGAGTGTGTCACTTTCATCATCCTAGGTAGATCCTGATTAAGATAACGTCAACTCCAACGTGCCTGGACGGATGACAACTGACCGGACAAGGCAGGTACGGCATGGTGTCGGTCCGGTCCGCTGGTACATTATCTAAAAGATTGACGTAGTGACATGAGAAGAGCCTGGATGACTGAGGTATAGATCGTCCCGGTTGTGATTAAAGTATACAGTACTGTATATCAATATAGTAATAGCTGTACCAAGGACGTGTGAAAATTTCACTTCCCTGATATACACGATTTTCATAATAGCGCCACCAATTTTATTGCTTTCTTTACGTGAGTACATAATTGGTTGTGCTATGGGAGAGGAACCACTTCAGATTAATGTTCAGATTATTTAAATTTGAATGTCTTCTTTTATCTCGCTGAGTTAGATAGTCATTTTGTACGAATTATTATAGCATGGATAATAGGGGTAATTCTACACAACTTATGGGAATACCAATTGCGGACTTCAAAAAATTTAATTTGGAACTTTATTAATATTGAAGTAAACACATCTACAGTAAATTAAATAAGGTGCTAGAATAGAATTTCATGAATATACTGTCACATTACCGACTCCATCTTGACAAAAACCAACTCCTTTTAGTGAGATGAATGCCATTGACATGTTATAATAAGCAGTGGGGGGGGGGGGTCGTCCCACCGGACAGGTCAAGCTCCCCCACCCCATCGGACAGAGCTCGTCGGGCTCTAAAAATAGGCCCACATCAAGCCAACACATGTCTGTCGCAATCAGAAAGTGCCATTTCTGGCCTTCCAAAGGTTCTTATTCTTTAAAAAAAATCTCATTGGGGGAGGGGGTGACACCCTCTCAAACCTTTCCCCCAGCTCGAGGCTACGATCCCAAGTCCCCTTGTCGGACAGCTCAGGCCCCCCCCCCAACCAAAAAAAATATATATATCCTAGAGCCGCCACTGCGTATCATACAAACAGAAAAAAATCAAGCAAAAACTGTGATCTAATGATACATTAGTGTACGATTGGGATAGGAAATAGCATTGAGAGTAACAGTGATGACGTCACGATTGCCTAAAAAAAAGTTTTCAACTACAGAGGGCGTGGTTTATTTTTTTACCCTACGTCTATTGCTGTAATAATACCAATCATGTCAATGATTTATGGTTTTGATGATTTAATAAAATCAATAAAGCAATCAAATGTTCTGAAGAGATCACGTCACACCATAGATGGTTTGTGAGTCGATAATGAAAGAGGCGATAATGAGCCGATACTAAAAAAAAAATATCCAAAAAGGGAAAGTGTAATAAAACCAGTCTTTGGAATCACTCAACGACACTCTTTATTGGATAATTTATTAGAAGCATTTTTGTGGAACAGTCTTATTGCGAGAACTGAATTCATGCAAGTCTAATGGATTTATTTAATTATGTATAAACTCATTAGTAAGTGTGGTGGGCAAGGTATTTTTGAAATCTAATCGTATCCATTTAATCTAGGTTTATGTGTTAGCGGCATTTCTTTTCACTTTGTAATGATTTAATCGCTGGGTGTTTGACGTGCGATCAGAATAATTATGACGGGAAATGTCAATCAAACTTAACAACTGACTAATCAGGATAGCGCTAGGAATACGCGCGCGTCTTACAAACACACGTGTTGTCCAACAAACGCACGTGTTGTCCAACAAACGCACGTGTTGTCCAACAAACGCACGTGTTCGCGTACCGTATGTTTTAACACTGTCGTCTCGTGGGACCTTAGTAACAGTACGGTATCCAAAGGGCGGGGCTTTGCGGAAAGGTTCATTCATGCCGACGTGCTTGAAAAAACAAGCCGAACCAACGCGGAGAGAAGTGGAGTTTTGTTCGAACACTTTATTCAAACATGTTATTTATACACAAGAGTTCGGGTTCCTTTTTGCAGATTTAACCGGGCCCACAAATTTCCCTATATTAGTTCACCATGGTTATCGTTTTTATCTTACGCATTATTTAGAGCAAACGCTTTACTCATTTTGTTTCAAGATAGGACCTATTCGTTTTATTTCAGAATGATCGAACATATCGAGTAATTATTCCGAATAATGATACTATATAGACTAAATTGTTTTATTCGTACTAATGGATGTAGATATCTTCCTTGGCTGAGTTGGTCTCAGTGATGCGTGCTAAACAAGATTGCGTCCAGACGTAGATTAAGACAATGGGAATAATGGCAATTAACAACATCTATGAAACAGGGTGCGAAAACTTTTCCAACAGACCTAAGCGTGACACAATAATACTTGAGAAATGCGTTTAAACAGTGCTTCTGGTTGAGCGGTCTAGGGTGATTTAAGAGCTTCTTGATGATAAAACACTTGCAAAAATATAGATAGAGCATTAGCGACCCAGAAGTTTTAATGAATTATTTAGTTATGAATCTACATTTAAAGCTTCTACGACTGCTGTTTTTTCACCTAGGATGCTAACAACTCCGATTTCAATTACAAAATGGATTATGACAGTTTCGAAGTGCGGTGTGTTGTATTGTACAGATTGAAGGTCTGCCGACGATTTGTCTAACGGACGTCCTCGCGGTGTAGGCGTCCTAATCAAAATCTTGTGAACATAATATCTGTGATTCCAATTGGATAAAAAAATCTAAATAAATGATCTACGCATGCGCGTACTTAGCACATAAAATATACGTATTTTAATAAGCAATATTTTCATCCGCTGGTGTAGGCTTGCGGAACCACTGTTCCGCGAAGTTGCGTGAACTTGCGGCGCACTGGCAGAGTGTTGGTACCCGAATCGCGTGGTATGTACTGTTACTAAACATTATAAAGTACAATAACTAAGCAGTATGCCTGTATATAGGTCGTGACATTTTACTTCACACGTTGAGGACCGATCTAGTTGTTCTCTCTCTCTCTCACTACGTAGGCCTAATACAGACTCGAAGCAATAGTCAACAAATCAAATCGAACAATCGTCTCATGTGGAGATTAGTCTTGTTATTTTCCATAGAAGTTGCTTTGTCGAAGTAAAAATAAAACGCGTGGTAAATAGAATACAGTCGTGCTTTTTTACACTCCTCTTCACTCTTTACGCCAGAATCGTGCGCGGGGTTCCCTGGAGGCGAATGTTGTTGGTTTGCCCGGAGACGTAACTCCTGGCCACTTGTTCTTAAAAGAGTGTTGACAAGATGAATCAACGGCTTAGCGCCAAGTGACAACAGGAGAATGAGGTCACCATTAATGGACGAGCTTGATAGAAAAAAAAGTTTCAAATTATTTCGCAGACGCAGGGACCACTTACGAGGTGTCTTCGATTCAACGAGGATTTAGTTTCCGTATCTTTTCTAATTCCATCGAGGATTTAAAAGTTTGTTCTAAGTAAGATATAACAATATCGTAACAAAATTACAAAGAAAACCTAAACTAGGCTTCGTTTTTAATCTGCAAGAACGGAGAACCAAAAAGCCCACGAGATTTTAAACGTCCTATTCACAGGCGCAATTCTGCATTGCCCAGCTGCTTAAAGATGATTTGGCTTTCACTTTTCTGTTAGCTTCTCCAAATGATGCATAAACACTGTTTATTAAGTATACTTTTTTTATATAAACATTATTCAGCATTGCAGCTCATGTAAACATGAACACATCAACACTAAATATCAAAGCATTAACGAATCTAAACATAAAGTTCGGTTCGGTTAATTATCTTTTGATCAACACTGCCCTCTATAGCTTACCTCATTATAAACTTGCTTACGGAATCGAAGCTCGCGAAAACGAGTTATACAAACGACGATACTCGCCTACAACAGTCGATCTTTTTTGTGTAAACCATTTGAAATCGGGGACAGACCCAATGTTTGTTTGTTTTTTTTTTTTTAATAAAGCAAATCAATTAAAGGTTCTAAAGGAGTATTCATTTTAAAATACATGATCTTAATAGACCTCAATGGGCCCCAACCTTTAGTTGTCGTTGTTAAAATCCCGCAAAACGACAGCGGTTACATACAGTCATGCAATTCTATGTTTTTGAGTCCACGTGAGTCAGATTTTCACAGAGAATTTTTAACAGTGGAAAATCCCAATTTGTTTTGTTGATGATCCGGAATAGGGTGTGGAGTGGATGTGGGGACCATTTAAATAAAAGGGTATTTATTACTGGTCCCGCTTACCAAATATCACGTTCTGTTTTATTGCGACTCCAGAAAATCTCTTAAATGGCCTTCCAATAAAATTGTCTCTTTTGAATTACAGTGTTATTAACAAGTGAATTAAAACGATAATTTGAAAAAGAAAAAATAAAAGAAACACCCACACAAATCTTACATTAATTAATTGCTCGTTTAAAGGGATACAGTATGTTACCAACATACAATCAGACGAAATTTAACTTTTAATTAAAAAAAATAAATTACCATACCAGCCAATTAGAATACTAGAGCAGTGGTATAATTTATGTTAAATTCGGCAAGTTCTAATTTTAAATTGAAAGCTAAAGCCCCACTTATACGAAGTAAACAATCAACATTGTGCAGTGTATTAAGGCGTTGTCCACACTATTTTATATAACATATACCTGTGATTTGCCCTTATATGGGTATCAATGATATCATCATACCCATATTTGGGTGTGATATGACATCTCGGAATGCCCAAATATAGAAAAATCAGATATCACTAAAAATGTGTATGGAGAGATCTTACCACACACGTTTTTTATAACTTACACGCTTATTATTTGAGTAAAAGAAAATTTAATAGGCCTATGTTAATTATAATGGGTTTTTACTGGAATGTAATTTTCATAATTAATAATTAACCAGTGAATAAGCATTTATTTTTGTTTCTTAATCCCCACCAGAATTATATTCAATCTAATCCGTTAGAATATCTCGTGACCTGGTTTTCCGTTTACCACCCGCTCCATTTTAGAAGCGTCTTGTTAATGTATGCATAACAACTAAGCCAGACCCTAGTGGATATACTGTAATAACGTCTAGGCCAAAAATTAATCAACTAAAATTACGAGTACGTCAGTCTGACCCACTAAAACCTTCGTTCTCGCGCTGTTGACCATTTGTATAATTCATCGTACACGTTGATAGGATATAATACAGAGGCCTTTGTACTCGGAGGACTGGCAGAGTCCGCCTAGGGTATTGAGGCTATCCACACCGACTGATTTCCATTAGGTACACGGGCTGACAATCTGACCATGAACGTATACACAAAAACAACGTGTATACTGTAATTCTATTAACGAAAAAAGTTCTAAAAAATTTTGTTAGATAGTCGTCCGCTTACCAAGCATCGTGTGAGTATTGAGCTGAATTTGATAGAACTCAATTAGACCTACTGTAATTAAATTGGAATGTTAATCAAATTGCGTTACTTTTATTTAAAACTGTGCATCTAACAAATATAAGTACATAATGAATATACATTTGCGAATAATATACGATATAATTTTAGTTCTGAAGTCATATTTTTCGTTAATTTCATAAAGTAATTACACAAGAGTCAGTAACATATACAGTATTTATACACGTTGGAAGTCAGCATATAAGTGTTATGATTAAGGTAAAATGTGAACGCCATTTCGTCTTTCCATACATGAGATGTATATAAATTATAACCCATATATTAGTACCTCTTTTAAGGGACAAAAAATGTGCTATAGGGGTATTAGCCTGGTAAGCATGTTAGGCAAACTACCGTAGGCTGTCATGTCCTGTACGAGAGAATGAAACGAATAGGCCTAACTAAAGAAATTTTTGACGAGTCCCAGACAGGCTTCAGTAGAAGAAGAAAGAGAGGAAGACTAATGGTAAGAAGATAGTGATAATGATGATGACGATAGCAATGTTGATGACGTTGACGTCGATGACGTTGACGGCCAAGGTTGGTTTGAAAAATCTATTACTTTAATTATGTGAAGTTATACCTTCTACCATGTATGATTGCAGTTCAGAGAATAATCTGTACCGTATTTATTCGAATAAACACCCTGGGGGCGTTTATTGTTGAGAAGGGTTTTTGTGGGGCGTTTATACGAAAGAGGCGTTTATTCGAGGGAGGCGTTTATTTATTTTGTTTTATTTATTTATTTTTATATTTTTGGTGTAAAATGGATACGTATATACTCAAATAAACGCCCTTTGATTTCACTGTAAATGTGGAACGGCATATTGATCCCAACCAGGTTAGAATAATGTGGTTCTGGAGTAGAACATGTGTGTTGAGAATGATGTTGATCCCGTAAGGTGTTTATTCGAAGAAGGCGTTTATTCCAAGTGAGAATCTGAGGGAGCGTTTATTCGAGGGGTCATTTATTCAAAGTAGGGCGTTTATTCAAAGTGGGCGTTTATTCAAAGTGGGGCGTTTATTCAAAATTGGACGTTTATTTAAATTGTGGCGTTTATTCGAATAAATACGGTAAATAAATAATTTTAATCATGAGAAAATATTCCTCCCCAGCCTTGTTAAGAGACTTAATTATCACCAACCAACATCGAACTTATATCACCACAGTCTTAAATAAGTTTCTTCTTGTTTTGCATAAACGTGTCGGAACAATCACGTGGTGAAGATATTATGATATTGGTATCGTCCCCTAATGTATAGAAGCACAAAACCAGGGCGCTGCTTGATATTTGAGACGGAAACAAGACAGGAGCGATCATTGTAAATTGGTCTGCGCGTGTCGAGGTGTCGGCTGCATTCAATTCAATGCATAATTCAGCACTTTTATCGTATGCATATAAATGGATTCATATGATGAAGACATTGAAGATTAACTAGAAACATAGAAATTCCTTCAAGCGTGTGGGTTTTGAAATTGATGACGTCACTTTCATTAATATGACGTCATCTTGGTTTTATTGCAATTAAAAATAATATTACTAATTCTTTTTCAATCGCGCAAATGTTTATAATAATCAAAAGAACGGTTTACTCGATTGTAAGAAGAGCTAAGTTCTGCAGTAACTTATAACTGAATCTGACGTAGGAATCTTTGTTTAACAATGGTAACAATGGGGATGTTCTGCTGTCCTAGCAGGTAGAGGAAATGATTGGTCAACATCCCCCATTTTCCATTATGTCCTCATTTCCGTGTTTCATTGTGATATTGTGACCGCAACAGGAATAATGTTATTTACTTCGTTAATGAGTAATAAGATAGTGCCGTGTTATTTATTGTCGCTGATGAATGGTTTCTGTGAATAATTAGATTTTCACTATAGGATAAATTGTAAGACAGCGCACATAAACGTGGTTACGGACCTGTCATTTATTTTTTTAAAATACGGTACGCCATAGGCGGATTCAAGGGGGCCCATCCGCCCCCTAAAAAAAAAAACAAAAAAAACTGAAGATAAAAATTACATTCAAATTGTTTTGTTTTAGCACTAATTTCACTGTTCTCTGGTTTTAGAATGCCGTTTATGGTCATCTAGAAGTGCCTAGTTATACTATTTGGTACCCAAGCCCCAATCATGGTGGTGATGAGGTGGTCGGGGCCCCGCTATCTGTAAAAATGACTTTCTTGGCCCCTGTATTTCTAATTGCTGGACCCATCAGCCAGTCACAATAGGTTGTGTTCTGGATGTTTAATATCAATGGGAATTGTGGCTTGATTCATGAAAGGGGAATTTCAATTAAAACAAATTATAGGGCTTACCCATATTTTTTTTTTCTGTGAAACGCGTGTAGCGCTGACATTATTTAATAGAAACGCTGTTTTCATTGATATTTCAGAGCAAAGCTTTAATGATGTTTCCGACTGAGTAAGCAAGACACACAAAAAAGGAAATTAGGTTTTAGCGCGCAGGTGTGATCCTTCGCCTGGTTGCTGACGAGTCAAAGCTCTGGTGTAAACATCCCATAATGCACGTTCGCTACGATCCACAGGAGAGCAATCTCTTCCGGTAATATCAGTCAAAAACACAGAGAAAGGCTAAATGTTGTAGTTCACCCCAAAATTAGTATTCTACGGTCCTAGTGAGTTTTCAATCTGACTTGGACAATTGAATTATTCCCGTTGTGTTTTTGTTCTATGATAGCCCTCGTTTTTTCTCATCAATTATCAAACTTGGGTCACTTTTGTAAGAGACTCCCTGGCTTTTTATTTGAAACTAGACAGATAGACATTTAGGCCTATAGCGTACTTAGTAGTAGCCTATAAATGACAGGGGGAGGGTGGGGGAAAGGAAACTGGTGTGGTCACTAGCTGGGAGGAATGAAGAAAAGCCTAAGGTATAATTCCTTTGCTTAGCATGTTTTCAGCGTGGGCCTTGGGGGCGGGGGATCTTGGGGTAGGGAATCTTGGGGAGGGGATATTGGAGGTGTGTGTGTAAACAGCTAGGCACTATAGTGCAAACCTTTTCTAGGAGTTCCTAACAATAACCTTTAGATACGCCAATGCAGACAGATAAGGGACCGTCCAAATTGGTCCTCGCCAATGAACCGAATAACATGCGACATCCACTATGTCAACTTCTACAGCGTCGGTGACCATTAATTCAGTTTCAAAACTTGTTTATGGGTCCGATTTTAGTCCACACCTCTACCAAGCAAGAAGTAGCTTATAATGACCAGTAGTAAAACGCAGTGGCGGATTCAAGGGGCCCGGTCGCCACCCCCCCCCCCAAAAAAAAATATTCCCAAATTGTATAAAAAGTTTAGAGAAAAAGAAATTGTATTCAAAGTCTGAGAGTGCCATTTCGGCCATCTATTTGCCATAATCATAAATTTTCTTGCCTCTATTTTGAATTCCTGGATCCGCCACTGATAGTCTCCCGTTTTCAGATTTTGGGGCTCACTTTTTACTTCACACAAACGAAATATGGACAATTCAATACATACCGTACCTGTATACATGTTATAGGCCTAGGCCTATATGACATTTCTGATATGCAGTGTACTGTAAACCTAGATGGCGCGATTGAATTATTTAACAGTCAATAAAAAATAAATGTCGAAATAAAAGTCGTGAAATTGTCAATTCGGTCAAGTTTATTCATATAATTCATAGCCACAGAGAATAAAGTGACATAAATCTGTGACTCAAATGTATCCGATTTGCTTTCGATTAAAAGCACAAAAATATAGAACATTTTTTTAGATAAACTAATGCGCATTTACATTTTTATTGTTCGTGTCTTGTATATAGAATAAAAGTGCTAAATATCATTTCCTTTCAGGGCGGTGCATTTTAACAGATATGTATAGCCTATATACCTGCGTAGAACCATAATGAAACTAATATCTTATAACAAATATAGTGAAAATGCGTTTTTATCAATATCCACAAAAAATGGAAGGCTTCTATTTTGTTCTCGAATAAATATGTGAATATTTTATTACAGATATGATATTTTTAAAACTGAAATTTGGGACGATAGTATAGCTTTTTAATATCTTTAATAGAATAAGGATAGATTGTTCGCGTGATCAAACGTGTTACCGAATAAAACTCTATGGCCCGAAACATTAGTTTTTCGCCCTAACAAAATACAATAGCCAATAGGCCTAATTGATATTGATAAAACAATAGCAATGTTCTATTTATACCATTTATGACTTTTTCAGCGTTTCTCTAAAGACAGTTTTGCACCCCAAAATTATCATTGCTTAAAATTCAAACGTGCTGATTTATTTCATTTAATACCATTTGTATGTTACAGAAAGACAAATACAGACCCCCTCCCCGATAAATATTTGGTTTATTTCTTTTACATAATGACTCAAAAATTGCACAATATAATTTAAAATGCAGCCTTAGTTTAACACCAAGTTCATCTCTATTTCAAAATTTCTTTAATGATAGGCTTTTAAGATTAGGCCTACTAATAATAATAATAATATTTAAAATAATGATGATGATGATGATTATTATTATTAGTATTAGTAGTAGTACTGTTGTTGACCAGCAGCTGTTTTAACAGACTATACAGTATATTATTGTTGTTCATTTAAAAGAAACATATTTTTTATTCTAAAACATTATTTTTTTATCTTTATTATTAGTAGTAGTATTGTTGGCCAGCAGCTGTCTTAACAAACTATAGAGTATATTATTATTGTTCTGGTGGTGGTATATTGTTTTTGTTCGTTATTATCATTATTGTTGTTGATATTATTATTGTTATTTTGTAATTGTTATTATTGTTCTTGTTATTGTTCGTTATTATTATTGTTCGTTATTATTATTATAATTATAATTATTATTATTATTATTATTAGTTTTATTATTATTATTGTTCTTGTTA